AAATTCCAGGACAACGACAATTGTGGTCTCTTTCCGATCCTGGGAAGATTGGCGAAAATATTGCCGTAGCGGCCAGAAGCAGAAGAGTTCATGTTCTCATGGATCACTACCCATGACAAAGCCCAAAATGAATAATAAAAGATACTTCAGCTCCACTACGAACTCATTTTCCTTCCACGGTATTCCACAAAATCAGTTTTTTGGATACTGTTCAGCTCCTAAGACTAGCTTCTCGTTAGGAGAAGTCCTTTCCGAATGACAGGCTCTGAGAGGGGACATGGACGCTTTCATCGCCTCAAGACCGCCCTTTCCTATGCCGATAGGCATTAGCAATTCCCTACTAGTTGGCACACCTCTGTGACTCATATTTACCCGATTAATATTAATTTTATTAATAAACGTAGAAGAGGCTTCAAATTCGGAAAAAAAGTATCAAGGTTTATTGGCACCCGATATATCCTTCGATTTCCATTTAGGTTATTAGGTCCGTACATGAGCTATGGAAGGTCCAGCAGTTGCGAACGTTGCGTTTTCCTCCGTCGGGCCCCATCAGGACCGATTCCAGAGCTATGATCGGCTTCGTTGACCTGAACAATATCCAAAGCGGTACCCTGCCCAAACAAGGGGTAGCGGTGCTAACCGCCAGTGTCACTGCCATCACTGGAAGATTAAGCCCAAGTACGAAGAGATAAGAGGGAAATTGAGTAGAATCAACCATCACGATACGTAATCAATCAGTGTTCGACTTTGGGACTTGGCGCAATAAATTTTTGAAGGCCAAATTACCAATTTTCCCACTGTAAACAGCCGTAAGAACTTACATTACTTATTGGATGTCTTATTTTACTACATAGTAACACCTCCGAGTCATGCCATCACTTTCAGTTAACCTAATCACCGTCGAAGATGCTGTAAGCGGTATTATGTTGGCAGTGGAACGAGCTCAAAACGCTGAAGTATGGAACATCGGTGGTCCAAAGGACTACTCGGTGGAGGAAATCAAGCAGGTTTGTAACCAAGAAGCAATCATTGCTCCAAGTGGAGCTTGTTTAGAGCAAGGAGCCATAGGCAGCACTGAGCAGGTTGTTGCAGTGTGAAAAGGTGCTGTGATTACCAGCTGATTCCCCTCGTGGGAGGAGCTCAAAGCGATTTGCGTAGCCAAAAAGCCGTATTTCAAATGGGACTTAACTAGATCTATGTAAGGTCAACCGTCCGTTCGCATTATTCGAACGAGGGGTTATTTGCGATTTCGGAAGGGTGGGAGGGGGATCACATTTAGGAGTTCAGCAAGGTCAGCTACCTCCGAGAATATTGTGAATAGGGGTGTCTTTGACGGGTTTTTGACGGATTTTGGCAAAGTTCCATGAAAATAATGTAAAATAGACAGAATTGGTGGATTTGCTGCTTCATGGTGCCACTCACCCTCCGCGGTGTTTGTGAAGGGAAAAGTGGGAGTAGTTGGGTGTGCCGATGTCGGCTGGTCTCACTTGTCAGAATCAAATACCATAGAAATAGCCATGATGGTGAGGGTAGTGATCGGGGTAGTGAGTAGGTGTGCCGTATTAGAGAAGTTTCCTAAGGCTGACTGTGATGGTGGGGGTCGCACCGGAACCCCCTGAAGAGGAGGGGATTGCAAAAATTTTTGGGAAATTGCTTACTT